TCTGAAATGTCCCTCTCTGCTGTGTCTCTTCTCTGCTAGGTGAAGGAGGACTGGAAGTATGTGGCCATGGTCATTGACAGGATATTCCTCTGGATGTTTGTAATGGTGTGTATACTGGGATCTGTGGGACTCTTTCTTCCTCCTTGGCTGGCTGGAATGATCTAGAATCACGCCATTAAAGGACAGGGAGTCCACGAACACTTACAGGAAACGAACTGTCTTATCTCTTTAAAAAAAAAGAAAAAATATATATCATCTTTTTTCATTTTTCAAAGGAACTACAAGTCCCACGCCTTGGTCTTTCCCCAGGTTATCAAAAGGCTACTCACGGAGAAACAAGATGAAATATCTCTCATTGATTCCACTGAGCATATAAATTCTTTATGAGGGCAAAAGGCCAACAGCGAAGAAGTCCTTCTTCACCACTCAATTTTGACATTGAGTTGTATAGCTCATGTTGTCAACTTGTATAACAGAGAAGAATAGAGTTTGACCAATATATAACTGCAGAAAACCCCACAGAGAACATAAGATGTTAATAACACTGTAAAAGGTTTGGATTAAAACTCAATTTTCACATTCCTGCTACAATGTCAATGTAAAATATTCAAGTTTCAGTGCGACCTGATTGAATTTCTGGGAGGGAGTTGTGCGTGTTTGTTCATGTGTGACGCGTTGTTTTTTTTGCAATGGTCACTGATAGGTAGGATTTTCTAATCGTAGCAGTTAAATAAACACATCATTCAATATTTCTTTTGTTGCTACCACAGCACTTTGGCGTTAACAGGGAGGGATTTAAAGTCTCTCTCTCCGGCCATGCATAGCCCTTCCTCCCCCTCAACCCGACAATCTTTTCTATTGCTTGATAAATGAGTAGAATAGGAGTGGAATGAGCGGCCTGATTTTATGCATTTTTCTTCTTTTTTGTCAAGCATGACTTTCAAGACCATAATAATTAGGTATTGATATTTAAAGTTTAAGGTGAATATCAATAATTAACTTTGGAAACAATTTTGTTTTTATCTGGAATAAAGAAAACCAGCCTCCACACTGCATTGTACACTGTGTACCATGCAATACAATCATGACAGGGCAGGAAATCAAATTGCTTTCAAAGTGCTGAACAAAAAAAAAAGCTGTTCTTGATGAGTTGAAGGTTTCAGGCAGTGGCGGACAGTGGAAGGTGTGAGAGGCTGATGGTGAAATCACTTCTGAATGTTAATGACACAAGTGAAAACACACCTGGAGCGATGACAATGAGCAGAGAAGTGTTGATGGTACATTCTAAATCATTACATCATTAGGGTAAGACACCAGTCGCCAAGGTGTCATGCACCTATATTGACAGTAAAAATGTGGTCCAACCATTACCATACAAAAAAAAGAGTATTATTGTTAATATTATTAATACTTATATTAATATTATTATATACATGAGGCTGACTTTATTATGGAAAGGCTCCAAACTTTCCTTAATAACATCACATTTTGTTAATTTAGATAGTGCATGACTTTTGCGGCTTTGCTTAATGAATCTTTTCAATATCTGCAACAGCTAAATGAACAGATGATTAGACCACTGGTTCTGTGCAAACGGTTAACACTTTTAGGGAAAGGTTAATTGTGCTGCAGTATGACAAAAATTATCAGATGACAGTGAGCTGCATATATACAGTATATTAGGTGCAGGGGTGGAAGTAACAAATGAAATTGACTTAAATTACTGTAACAAAGTCTTTTTTTTTGGGGGGGGGGGGGATAGTAGGTTGACAGATATGTCATCTGAAAACTGAGAACCCAAAGATTAATTTGAGCTGCGGCTCAGCAGGGTGTCAAATACTCGGGAATTGATCAACAATCCCTCCAAAATACCACATTTAGATGCCAGGACCTTGAGGAACACCACAGAACATTCCATGCTGTGATGTGGTATTAAAAAACATTTGACATTTGGAGATTTCTGTAAGAATTGCATTTTTTTGCAGATTGAATGTCAAGTGCTTCCGTCTTCTTCTGTGAAACCCCCTTATTGTCAATATACCTAGATAAGTCATACAGTCTCTAAATGCCACAGGTCTCTAGTTTGTGGATATAAAGTTTCATGAGGCTGTGATCATCCTAGAGGTCACAACATGTCATTTTATAGTGACGTCAACTGTCAAAAAATGGTCTCACAATGTGACATGGCTACAATGGGGACTCACATCCTCACACAAGAATACAATTAAGCTCATTGGATCCAGTAGAGTCTCAGCCTTCCAGTCATACCTAATTTATGCAATTCCAAGACTAACTCGGGACCCCAGTATGCAGAAATAATAAAATACACCCTTTTTTAGAATAGGCAAAAATACCACATTTATACTGAATTCTAACAACTGCATGATTTTTGCCCCAAACTGCATGGAATTATAAAGTGGGCATGATATGGCCTAAAGTTTCAGCCCCTTTACCAACAAGCTAGCATGACATGAATCGGTCGCGTAGTTTCATATAACAATACCTTCACTCTAGCTTCAAAGCTGAGGCAGCTACAGCCTTCGGATTATTGATGTTTCTAACTTGTTAATATGTGCACCAAAATCCAAAAAAAAGCATTAAATTCCTGTTGACAGCAAGTCATCAACTCTTGTCCACTTTAATCCTGCTCCCAGACATCTGCGTCCTGCTGCTCCACCTCAGTTAAAATCCCCGATTTGATCAGATTTAAAAGCGTGTAACATTACACCTGAATGCCCAAAGTGATGTCCTTCATCTTGAACTCAACAAACTATTATATTTCCACTGGCTTAGCAGAGGACCAACCGTTGATCATTATGTAAAAACACACAGGAGAAAATTGCAATCAAGCACAATATAGGAAGACAGCACTTTAAACAAGGTGATATACCTGCAGAGCTGTGTATTTATTCATTGAATCCAGCACATCATTTGAAAGAAGAAAGGCTGGGTGATGGTCTGAAATACATAACAGCTTTGTTGCAGCTTTAAATGACTTAAAAGCACATAAGCATTTATAAAAAAAAAAAATGTGCTTAAGTAATTCTTTTGTCTGTATGCAAAGATAATATACCAACGGATATTCATTTCTATTTGTCCTTCCAGTTATCCCTGGAAACACAATAAACGAGGATGGTCTTTATTGAACTACAAAGTTTCCATTATATGATAAGACGTGCCGTTTCAGCAGGGATTTATGTAAAACTCTTAATATCATACAAATTACAAATGGACACGTCACGTGGTGAAGCTCGATAAAGGTCCTCTGTGTCCGCTGTACAAGCAATGCAAATGCCACGCAAGTAAGAAGAAGCTATTATTTACAACGAAATGTCATTTTGTTACATTTACCTTGATGAAAAATTGACCTTAAATGCTGGTTTCAATTAAGGGAACGTCTTTGCAGATACATATGCTAAGACTTAGATCATGAACTTAGACAAGGAGACTTGCTTTAATTAATAGATGCATGGCACATGATGAACCGGAGTAATACTGCTTCCTGATAAACTGTTACTTATGGAAAATGCGGGTAGAATAACACTGAAGCCCAACCGACTCGACTCATTCACAGGTCGTCCCCCTGTAGCCTGGCAACCCTCACAGCTGAACCGCCTAAAGTGAATTCCTGAGTAAAACATCTGTCAAGGTGGCCTTCCAATCAATTTCTCCATCACATCTCCTTAATCACATAATCCAGATCCTGATAAATGCCGATTAGCAGAGAAAACTCCCCTAATAGGCCAGTCTGAACCCACACACGAGACAGACGTCTGCAGGAGTGTTCAGTGCATACAGACGACCAAGGATGGAGACAACACTTAGACCTGAGGGCGCGCGCGCGCACACACACACACACACACACACACACACACACACACACACACACACACACACACACACACACACA